ATCCGTACGTGTTCGTTCTCACACCCGTGCACCTAAGCAATGCATACAATATTGTAGATATTGGAAAGCTGGTGAGTATGGGCGTTCACGTCCAAATGCTGATGATCCCAGATGAAATTTAAAAACATCCAACAGACTAGCTGTTGTAGATTTTCCGGGTTGTATGGTTGTGGTCTTGGCATTGTAGGACTGTCAGCGCAACCGAAAGAACGCCGAATGCCAACGGTCATCTGTGATCATCAGCATCTGCTTGCGTGATCGAAGAACCGGGAAGGCGCATTCACAAAATTCATCTGAGATTGTCAGGAGGGATTTGTTATAACAAACAGAAGGTGGTGGCATTTCACAGTTTCAGGGGGAGAGACATCCAAACCATTAGGTACTTCACAAATCACCTCTTGAAGTAAAAAGAAATTTAAAAAGAGTCATCTGTTAAATATCAGAAGGGCAGACGATCAACTCTCTTTTCTGGCGTATGGCTCCACCTGCTGTATCTTCAGAGGAAAGATATCCCCCATGTTTTGATACACAGTTGAACTCAAGCTGAATCACCAGTGGATACGTCAATTAAAGCTGCTATTTCACTTTTTTTTTTTTTAATAAGCTTTTAAAAGCTAATGAGGTCTTCTTTCTGTTTGAGAAGGTAGATTTCAGCCATTTCGATCAAAGCAAGCAACCATGTTGTCTGTCTGGGGCACCGTTTCCCAAGTCTGTTTTATCGTAAGGTAAAGGTAAGGAGCAGAAAAATAAGAAAAGTCATGTGCTCCATCTGGCCATCAAGCAAACACCCCTGAATGCAAGCGGTCATAACCGTTATCTCTCCGGCAGGTCAGCACGCAGACGCTCATCATTCCAAAGAACTGAAACGAGAAAACAGTTATTAATGTATTTTTTAAAATCGAGTCTGCAGCATTGATTGTGTTACCGTCAATGCTCAGAGAGATTCACAGTTCAAAACGTGTGGTTCCCCCCCCAACTTTAGAAAAGAGCAAGTGTCCAGTATCACCTTAAAGACGAACAAAATTCATGGCAGGGTAGGAGCTTTCGTGAGTGGAGTGATTTCAGATGCCAAGTGACAATAGCAGGCGAATGACAACAGCAGGTGCAGTACAGCAGTTGAACTGCAACTGATAATGAAGCTCAAGTCAGTGCATACTCCTGGACTGAATCGAGACCTAGGTTTCCTGCCTCATTACACCTACTCCCTCTCTGCATATCGCAACTAATCCAATCACACCTGCTCTTGTCATTTGGCATCTGAAATCACTCCATTTCCCAAGATATAAGGACACATTCTAGCCGTATATAAAGAAGTGAGCAGTGACTCACGAAAGCTCACCCCCTGCCACATATCTGTTAGTCTTTTTAAATAGATTTTTTAAATTATTATTATTTTATTTTATTATTTTTTATTATTATTATTTTTCAAACATATCTGTTAGTCTTTAAGATGCTACTGGACTCTTGCTCTAACACGGATACCCATCTTGATCTTTCCCCCAGCTATTACGGTGCATGTAGCATTGTCTGAAATGTGGTGTTGGAGGAAGGTTTTATGGATCCCATGGGCTGCTAAAAAGACAACTAAGTAGGTTCTAGATAAAATCAAGCCTGAATTCTCGCTAGAAGTGACTAGAAAATGACTAAACGGAGCATCTCATATTTTGGTCACATCATGAGAAGACAAAAGTCACTGGAAAAGACAATAATGCTAGGGAAAGTTGAAGGCAGCAGGAAAAGAGAAAGACCCAACACGAGATGGATTGACTCAATCAAGGAAGCCACAGCCCTCAGTTTGCAAGACCTGAGCACGGCTATTAACAAGAAGATGTTAATTCATAGGGAATTCCATAAGCTGGAAGTGACTTGACAGCAGTTGACACACAGATTTGCTATTTAACAAGCATACCTGACTCCAGATTTGGCCGGTGTTGCTCTTACTGATGGTTTCATTTATGCAGGGCTGAAAGGCATTAAATCTTACCTCCCTCCCATACACATGCTGCTCAATCAACTGATGGCTTAGTTGATGTTCCTCAACACCAAGGACATTCCTTTCCATGAACTCACCTGGCTGCTCAGGTCAACAATGGGAATGCCCTTCATCTTTAGATACTTCAGGGTTTCAGTGCCCTCTGATCTGGGATAGCCCAGGGTAACCTGATCTCATAAGAATGTAACAGAACATAAGAACGTAGGTGCCCACAAGTTCTTGAGAAGCCATGTTGGATCAGGCCAGTGGCCCACCCAGTCCAACACTCTGTGTCACACAGTGGCCAAAACCCAGAGGCCAT